AGGTACATATTTGCTGTAATCAGTATAAAAAAACCAATAAAAAATGTGATTGTCAGAAGTTGGAGCATCCAGTTAATTATTATCTAGTTCATTACTTCTTAAATAAGAAAATCAGAATTATATCCTCTTCTGAAGAACTATGGCGTGTGAAATAGCCAGAGACATTTTTTTAAAAATCCTAAATTGAGATCAACAGCTTCATGGAAATAGGGAGCTATGAGCTCCAAATGCCCTGACTTTGGTAGGGTTAGGTTAAAAAAAAAAAAAATAGTGATTTCATTTTAGTGCTGGTTTTTAACATTTAATTTCCTTTTATAAAAGTAGTTTGACCTTTGTGGAACACGGGAAATGTAAAGACCCAGGGTTTCTCTCCATTCCAGAACCTTTTTCTCCAAAGGTCCTTAGACCAGACCACCTGCTTTAATATTACTCAACTATGTTCTGATGGATGGGCTTCTATCTTCCAACAGCAAAAACGCTAAATGAATCTCCTACACGAGAGACCTACAGGATAATGTTGTCCTTAGCAGCTATATACTTGGCGTAATGTGGCCTGTTTACCTAGTAGCTTGCCGTGTGCTTCATATGTGAAGTTCCTTTTCATGGCTGTTTGTTTCTGTTGGACTGTATGTGTTAAAAATAATATAAGGTCAAATTCCATAGGAAAGCATGGTTCTGATTGAATTTCCAGTCCTAGAGTCTGGACCTACGCCAGTAGGATCTGGGAATGTGGCAAGGATAGTATGCCTTGCACTGCAGCGCTCAAAAGTGACTACTTAGGTTGATTAACTGGTGGTGAGGATTGGTTTGGAAAGGTATTTCAACCAGACTAATTAGCAAGCAGTCAGATGTGACAGAAAAGCAGGTAAAATATATGCCATCTCTCTGGAAGGAGCCAAAAGAATGCACTGGGAATAAAATGGAAATAAGCAAGATACGTGCTAGAGCCACAGTATGAAAAGTTAGCTTCATTGCGTGCCTTGTGCTGTTTAAAAATAGAAGAGTTCTTAAAAGTCATTGGAGTTAGATGCAAAAAGTCCAAGCTCTAGATATGAGTATTTAGCCACATCATTGGGGGCAATTAATATAGGTAATGTTGACTTGAAGCTCATTTTAGAGTACAAATTAAGACTTGAAATCTGTCTTTAAAAACAAAAGCTATTTGATGTCCCCCAAAATACATCAGTTTAAATTTGATCATTGTTCTATCTTTTTAATTTCCTTTGTAAAATACCCAGCAAAACCCATGTATTCATTCTGATACTTTTGGAGTTAATGTTACTGTACAATCTGCCCAAAAATATCACCCTGAAAAAATGGACTGTGATTATGAATGTTATTATGATTATGGAGATGGTGACTTCTTTTATGTGGCTCAAACAGTGACCATTTTAACCACCCCCTCAATTTTTACCTATGAGATTTTGGTTCTAACTTATATTTCTACTCTGGACCACTTTGTTGTCTTCTAGGAGTGCCTCTCTTGCCTTTTAGTTTAATGAAATCCTATTCATCTTTCCAGGAATAGATTAAAAATGATCTCCTACAGAAAATCTCCATTCTCTACCCTCCAATTGTCCCCAACAGAATCATTCCCCCACTCCGTGGTTCTGTAGGACCTGGTACTGCTTCTATTAACAGTACTTGTCACATTATGTCACAGCGTGTATTTTTCCTTCTCTCAAATTAATTGCAAGCTGCTAGAGGGCAAGAGCTATCTTCTTTAACCTAGAACACCCATTCTCCATGCTCAAGAAATTAACATCAAGTCTTACCCATGGTTGGCACTTGAATGTTTTTTTTGAAACCAAAGGATCTTCAAAATAGAGATATTTTTTTTTCCTATGGGGGAAAGAGCAGCATATTTTCCCAAACATCCTCCTGCTTTGCTATTGAACTAGGCTTCCAGTTTGCCCGCATTCTCCACAGTGTGGATGTGAGCTTTCCCCCTTTCTGTCTTCATACCTGTTTACCAATTCTTCTCATTGTGAGATTGGACATGTTACTTTGAATCCATTTATTTATTCAGAAAGTATGTGTTGACCATCTGCTAACTATGGCATTGCTGAAATATTCATCGACATTAACTCATCTTCCTAAAATGCTGGTAAACATTAATATCCACTACTATCATCATTTGTGTAGCCTTCTACAGCTTACAAAACACTTTCTCAGCCACCATGCCATCAGCTCTTTCCAAAATGTCTGAGGTGGATTTTATTATGTCAATTTTTAACACATTTCTTAGATTCCCAGCTCAGTTTACTGCAGAATGTTTTGTTTAACCATGTTGAATCATAAAATATAAGATCTCTAAGGGACCTTAAAGATGATTGAGTCCTGCCCCTTCCTCTTACAGGTAATTAAAGTGGGATGGTCTCATCTTACAGATGAATAAAATGAGATCTGGACAAAGGAAGTGACTTCTCTGTCACATATTCTTAATTAATGGCACAGTCTAAACTGCTATCTGTCTTCTGTGTCCTAGTTTGATGTTCTAGCCATACTGCCTCTAAGACAAAAACTTTGAGTGTATTATCCTCATTTTTTTTTTTTTTTTTTTGAGACAGAGTCTCACTTTGTTGCCCAGGCTAGAGTGCCGTGGCATCAGCCTAGCTCACAGCAACCTCAAACTCCTGGGCTCCAGTGATCCTTCTGCCTCAGCCTCCCGAGTAGCTGGGACTACAGGCATGCGCCACCATGCCCGGCTAATTTTTTGTATATATATTTTTAGTTGGTCAATTAATTTATTTCTATTTTTGGTAGAGACGGGGTCTCGCTCAGACTGGTTTCGAACTCCTGACCTTGAGCAATCCGCCCGCCTCGGCCTCCCAAAGTGCTAGGATTACAGGCGTGAGCCACCGCGCCCGGCCCTCATCCTCATTATTGAGAAATGCTATTTATTCATTTTTTAGAAGAGTCAGTTCTGACACTGTTTTGCAAATCTTTGTTTTTTTCATAGACTTCTTTCTGATTTGTATTCTCGTTCTCTTTTGTCTGCTTTCACCGTCTGAAGTGGAACTTACGGACACCTGACACCATGCCTAACAACTTTTTCTATGCAATTTTTTCTCTGTGATAGATTTTATCTACCTTTCATTTTTTTCAATTTTTTTAAATTTTTGAGGCAGGGTTTCACTCTGTCACCCAGCCTAGAGTGCCATGGTGTCATCATAGCTCACTGCAACCTCAAACTTCTGGGCTCAAGCAATCCTCCTGTCTCAGCCTCCCAAGTAGCTGGGACTACAGGTACACACCAGCATGACTGGCTGATTTTTGTATTTTTGTAGAGACAGTATCTCAACTCTTGCTCAGGCTTGTCTTAAACTCCTGGCCTCCAGTAGTCCTCTCTCCTTGACCTCCCAAAATGCTAGGATTACAGGCATGAGCCACAGTGCCCAGCCCTAATCTTCTAATTTCTTAACGTTTCGTTTTTGTTTTCAATATTCAGATAGTTAGTTGGATAGTTTTACAGCATTTACCCAGAGGTCTGATGAGAGACCTTGTTAATGTGATTTTGTGGGCTCCATTGCCAGTACTACTCCGCTGAGAACTCAGAGAATTTTAAACTGGAACGAATTCTTAGAGATATTTGGTCTAACTCCATTATTTCTCCAGTGAAAAAAAGCTTCCTAAAGTTATATATCCTGGATCCAAATCCAGGATTCTAACTATGGTCTTTCTGCCACATTGTACTGCTTATTGCTTGGAAATAAGAAAAGATTTCTGAACAAAAGCAAGGGCGTTGGCTGAGTACAGAAAAGGGAAACCAAGGAGTTTATGCCAATGAAATCCTCAAACTTGATATGCTGAACTGGTCAAAATTTTAAATAATTTGAGGATTCTTTTTATAAAAATTGACCTTAATTTGCAACTAAACCTAGAGAAGTCTTCTGAAGAGCCCAGCAAACCTTATCTCCCTATTCCAATTTATCGAATTATTAGAAATATAATTTTTTCTTAAGGGAAATTATCTTTATGTGGCAATTTTCCAGTACTTTATACCATTTTATCTCTAATACAAGCCCTATTATTCTTTTTGTGGTACATTATAGAGTCTGATAGCGCCTGAGCTGCAACTAGCTGAACTTAAACATAGTACGTGGACCTTTTATAATTTATTAACAAGATTTGAACATAGAGCCTGATTTTTTGTAAAATTTGGTTCTGTGAGACATAGTCTTTTGCATTGATTTAGGATACCTAGATGCAGACTGAAACTTTCCAGACTTGAGGGTGTTCACATTTTCGTAGCTGAGTTGTAAATCATCTTTCATTTAGAAGATTTAAAGACAGACTAAAGACCTAAATCTTTTCAGTCACCTTTCTAACTAGGAAAAGCCTCTAGATGAGCCTTATTATGGGTTTTCCTAATGGATTAGAACAAACAGTTTGATAATGTTCAAATAGAACAAATACTATCACAAGGAAAACAACATTTTCCTCCCAGAGCTAAATGTAAAATTAGGTGTCATTATAGGGCATTTGGAAGATGTTTGAAAGCGTCTAGCCCGAGCAGGCCAAACCACTCGACTGTAATGGGCAGCAAATCAAAACCAGAGTGGTAGGCTTGTTGTTCCCATATTTGTTTTGCTTCATTCTGCTTGATTATTTTGGCAAAGCCAAGCTGAAACGGCAAGGCTCTGAAGTTCTGTAAATCTAAGCTTTTAATTAGGTAAAAGACTCTTTTTGCAGCCTGTGTCGAGTGCTCATTTTGTGCTTGGAATGCTTTATTCCATACTTTGGTATGTTTTGAAAAGAGCTGTGGCACTCTGAGCCGGACTCCTTCAGGAGCCACGAAAACCCACCATGGATCTGGCCAGAGTTTTATCTATTGGGATGTTGCTCTGTAAGTGCCCAATGCATTCGGACATCTCTGGAATTTTCTGCTTATATGCATGTTAAAGAAACACTGATTTCTGCTTAATGTGAACTCTGATTGAAACTCTTCTATTTAAAAAGGATTTTTAAATTTAAACACATTTTTAAATTAACATTACCTATCAATGGTAGATTTTTCTCAGAAGAATTTTCTCCTTTTCTGCTAATATTTTCTCAAATGTTTAACTGCTTTGCACATGTTTTTTATATCTGTGGTTTTTAACTGAAAAATGGAACATAGGAGAAAAGCAGTTACCCAATGATGATACAAGACTGGCTTTTTTTTTTTTAAGTAAAAACAAGTTTTATGGTCTTTAAATTGATATTTTTCATTTGGATAAAGCAATCTTGAAATACTATTCTCATATACCAGGATTTTAAAAAGGTCATAGTTTGCCTTACAAAGAATTCATTTAAACAATGTAAGGTTTGAGAGGGAAATCTTGATTAGAATCAACTAGGACAAGTATATGTATGGAAACATAAGTCACTTTCAACATTTTTTGGTGCAGTTATAGGAAATCCCTAAACCAGTTTCCTTTTGAAAGAGGAAATATATTGTTTATAAATTAGTAACCACAGTTAGAGGATATTTGCTTTCAATTAGAATTGAGTCTGCTTTTTGCCTGGAATATAACATTCATCTACATTATGTAAAAAGTAGCTGCTCTTATGAAAATAAATCCTAGAGTATGTGTATTCATATTCAGATATTAAGAATGTCTTGCAGGAAAAAATTACCACCCCTAGACGATCTTATCCCATCTATTCTTGCAAAACAGGTGTCTGGACTGATTTGGGAGCTTTGGTTTTATTTTTGTCAGTGTTTAATTTCCTGACACACAGATGCACTTAGTGTTACGAGATTTATGTGATTAAGTGTGCAAAATGACAAACAAGGTTGTCTGGTGCCCATCTTCCCTATTTAGTCGACTAATCACCTTTGGATCTTGGGCTCTGTCAATGAGCGAGTCCTTTACGCCACACCGGTAAGCCGCATTTATCAATCTAAACATTTGATCTGCCCGTGACCGCATTAGTTAGAGGCGAGGTCTCAGATCAAAGTTACAGTCTGGATTTAGGAAGGCACGGTGTAATCCCAGGTTGGAAGTGGCTTCCTCGGTTAACATGAGCGTCTCTCCTCCTGGTTACGTTGACACCGCAATCCTGCACATGTCCTGCAGCTCAGGTGGGGATCACAACAGTGTTGCCGAGGTTTAAAGCCTCCAGAGAGGTAACACACCTCAAGACCGTATCTTCTCATAGAAGTGAGGTTGCTTGGATTCTAGAATCATGTTTTTCTGGAACACTCTGGAAGCAGAGTGTTCATGGTGAAGGCGTGAGGCTTGTACAAAATCATCCTGACACCAGGACTGTAGTTCGTGCATCTTTCACTTGCCCTTTACTTGACACAGTTGAGGGATTTCAGGTGATTAATAGCTCTCTCTCTTCCAGGTGATGACTGCCTTCCCGAAGGTACTGTCATCTTAGCGGATTAGTGGTAGTAATGACTGGGATATATGCAACACTGCCTTAAGGAAGATTGCAAAGCATTTTGTGTTTATTATCTCCTTCCTTGGAGGTACAGGTCAGAATTGTTATTTAGAGCACTCTGGTGGGGAAATTGAAGCTCTGTATTGAGGGGACTTGTCCTAGGTCCTACAGGTACACAGTGGCCTGAGCAAGGCTCAGGTCCCTGCCTCCTGATGGCTCAGCCACTATTTCTTTGATCAGATTGCTATTCCCTCTTCATTTTGCACAGTGAGTGGGAACCATTGGCTTTCCCATTTGACCCCAAGCCTTGCAAAAACAAAATCTCCTGGCATTGTGAAAATACATTTAGGTACTAGCTTGGATTTGTCTTACAGCATATGAGTCTCTGCATACGGTGTGACACACCTTTTTAATAAAAAGGTGTGTGACAGGATGACCTAACTGTGAGTCCTCAAAGGTGAGGTGCAGGAGCCATTGGACTTTCTTTGTACAGCGTGCCCACATGCTCAGGTTGCGTGTTGTGAATGTGGCTGGGTAGTGCCAGAGATGGTGGTAGACTCCTTTATATTGAGGCTTCAGTTTCTCTTGTTTTCATAGCATCCTTTCCTTTACCAGCCGTTGTTACGAACCTCACGATTCATATGTGCCTGTGGGAGTTGACTAAACTCTTTTGTAATTCTATAGAATTCCTTAAACAAGACAGATTATGCCTTTGGTACTTTGTGTACACCACGCCCTCTAACACCCAATTCCTCTTATCACCATCAACCCTAGTTGGAGAGCCTTTCTTGTGGTAAAAACACAATCTCATGAAGACCAGAATTTAATTTGACTCACATTTGGCTTGAAAATATGCTGTTGAAGGATCCAGCTTAAGTATATTTTTAAACATAGAGATTGCTCACTTTGAATTGATTATTTAACATGTTCTTTATAAAGGAAAAGGAGAGAAAGGAAACTTGGATGCATTGATCATTAATTTTGTACCAGTCACTGTCTTACATGTTTTCATAAATCTATCTTACCCAGACTTTATAAAAACTGCAAGATAAATGTTAGTCCCTCCCTAACCATTTGAATAGATTACAAAACTGAGTCAGAAAAGGGTTAAGTAACTGAATCTTACTCAAGGGGGAAGCTTCACTGCATAGAGAGCCATGCCCATGCAGATATTAAATGCAAACACAAAAGAAATCTTTCCCAATCCTTGTGACATTTGAGAAGAATTTCTCACAAAGACCCCACTTTAAAAGTAACTGTACTGGCCGGGCATGGTGGATTTTGCCTATAATTCTAACACTCTGGGAGGCTGAGGGAGGAGGATCACTTGAGCTCAGGAGTTCGAGACCAGCCTGAGCAAGAACAAGACCCTATCTATACTAAAAATAGAAAAATTAGCTGGGCATGGTGTGGTAGATGCCTGTAGTCCCAGCTACTCGGGAGGCTGAGGCAGGAGGATCACTGGAGCCCAGGAGTTTGAGGTTGCTGTGAGCTAGGCTGATGCCATAGCACTCTAGTCCAGGTGACAGAGTGAGGCTGTGTCTCACAAAAATAAATAAAATAAAATCATTTGTACTGTTTTAAAATCTGATATAACTGTGAGGAAATCTGAAGAAAAATGTGTGTCCTAGGCTCACTGGCTTGGCAGAATCGAACATTTTTTGGATTCAAATTTTGTGGGGGAGTGAATTGTAGGAGAATCTGGTGCTTTTAGTCAACATTTCAGCATTTGGGTAGAGTAAAAACAAATATTATCTGGAAAAGGGAATATTTCTATTGGCCATTTTGCTTTTTTTTGAGACAGAGTCTCACTCTGTCGCCCCAGGTAGAGTGCAGTGTTGTCATAGCTCACTGCAACCTCAAACTCCTGGGCTCAAGGAATCCTGAGAAGCTGGGATTACAGGCACACACCACCACACCCAGCTAATTTTTCTTCTCTCTCTCTCTCTCTCTCTCTCTCTCTCTCTCTCGTAGAGACAGGGTCTCACTTTTGCTCAAGCTGGTCTCGAACTCCTGACCTCAATCCTCCTACCTCACCCATCCAGAGTGCTAGAATTACAGGCTTGCGCCTGGCCCCATTTTGCATTTCTAAGCACTAACCATTTTAGACAGAACTCTTCTCTCTAGACACTGTGGGTGAATAAAAGAAACGTTCCTCCTTCTAAAGGGATCTAAGCATAGACTGGGGTTGTTAGGTAATAGATTACTTCCCTCCTCCTAAAGGGATCTAAGCATAAACTGGGGGTGTTAGGTAATAGATTACTTCCGACTCTTAGCATCAGTGGATTTAAATTTTGTAAACGTTAAATTGCCTTGTAATTGTGCCTCAAAACAGCTTCAGAAAAACTGTAAGTCTGATAAAATGGTAGTAATCGGGCTGAATACAGACTCAAGCCTAAAGACAGCACTAGGACATTGGGTACCTGGAGGTGAAGAAGTGGTCCAGGAGGCGAGAGGAGACCTAAATTCTACCTCATGACCATTTCTGCATTGGCTCCAGTGACACAACTGTCTGTGTGACCCAGAAAATAACTTCTGAACTGGAGGCAGGCTGTAGATTGATTGCCTATGCCTGGCTGATGTTTTTCTGAATATTTAATCCCAACGGTGAAGCCATTCCTATTCTCAACAGTAGAGGTCCTCAGTACCACAGTGCTTCAACTAAGATGTTGAAAAATGCTCCCACCCCTGAATTCTTTGGCATGTATGGTTGCTTATGGAATTTAAGTCATTTTATAGGCTCGATTGTCTATTTTTATGTCATTAATAAACAAATTGCAGTCCTCATTGTCTGAGTTTGGCTTAAAATTTCACAGTCTTTTTTAACAGCCGGAATAATGTGTCAAAAATGAGTTGACTCAACAGTGGAATTATGTGAAAAATATATAAAAACCATTCTCTTTAAATTTTGGGATGAAAAGACCATGGGAAAATGTTTAGAGAAGATTTCTTGTGATGGAAGAAAACAATGATTATTTGTGGGGATGCGGGGTCAGTTCTAGTTTTCTGAAAACAGCCAGTTTACTCTTTGTCTATTGTGTTTAGAAGGACAGGGCTACAAGATACTTGGGGCATTTCCTTTTGTTGTTTGTTTGTTTGCTTTCGTCCCAGGGATTTTTATTTGAATTTTCTGCCTGTAAACACAATTCACTGAGAACTTCTTCATCGAATCCCTCTTTTCACCAAAATTTGACATTGCCCTTAACTCCTCCCAATTCTTTACGGTCTTTGTAGCAATCGTTGAATCCTATCAATTCTACCTCTTATATATGGCTTGTTTGTGACATTTCCCATCCCTCTAGCCCCCACTGACCCAGCTTGGAACCTTAACTTGATCATTATAACTCTCTCCTCTAACCAGTCTTCCTATTTCCAGTTTCATCTTTCACTAAGCCATTCACAAAACCCCTTTCTGTAATGTCGTTCCTGTACTTGGTGCTTTTCAGTGGTTGCCATCGCCACTGAGTGAAGCACACATTTCTTGGCGCAGCCTTGCCACGGCCTTTATAACCCTGTCCCTAACCGCCTCTCCAGCTTATTGCTTCCTTGTCCCTTCACCACAGCCCTCAAATCTATGTTCCAACCATACACTGAACTGAACAACTAAGAGTTCCCCAAATGCGACAAACTCTTCCAACCTTTCTGCTTTTGCATGCTGCTTGTTCTCTCTAATATCACTATTCTTTCTTCTTTCACTCCTGGTTTACCTGAAAAATACCTAACTCTTCCTTTAAGATCCAGGCCAGGGGCTGGGCGTGGTGGCTCATGCCTGTAATCCTAGCACTCTGGGAGGCCCAGGCGGGTGGATTGCTCAAGGAGTCAGGAGTTCGAAACCAGCCTGAGCAAGAGCGAGACCCTGTCTTATAAATAGAAAGAAATTAATTGGCCGACTGATATTTATAGAAAAAAATTAGCCGGGCATGGTGGAGCATGCCTGTAGTCCCAGCTACTCAGGAGGCTGAGGCAGAAGGATTGCTTGAGCCCAGGAGTTTGAGGTTGTTGTGAGCTAGGCTGACGCCAAGGCACTCACTGTAGCCTGGGCAACAAAGCGAGACTCTGTCTCATAAAGAAATGATGAGCAAAGAAAAAAAATATAAATCTAATGGCACTCATGCAAAATGAAAACAATTTAAAACCTTGAACTAAAAATACTAGATGATTTTTAACATGGAAGAAGAAAGGTAAGAGTGGAAATAAGTGAACACTTGGGTTAGGGGCAGGAGGTCTGTGGATATATACACAAATGATTTAAAAAGATAGAAAAATAAAAATTTTAAAAATGTTAAAAATGTAAGAGTAACCACTAGAAAAATGGGATATACAGTTTCCAAGACAATAAAATGAAAAAGAATAACTAAATCAATCCAAAAAAGAAATAATAAGCCAAGAAGTCACAGTAAACAGGAATCATAAAATTAGGTAGTAAGATTAAGTTGAAATATACTAATAGTCAAAGTAAATATAAATAGGTTAAATTCTTCAATTAAAGAAGAGGAAATATAATTGGGTTTTTCAAAAATCTTGTCATATGTTGATATAAAATAATGAAAAAATTTTAAGTGAAGAAATGGAAAAATAAATCCCACCTAAAAGCTTAAAAAAGAAAGCAGATATAGCAGTATTAATTTCAGATAAAATATTAGTTTCAGTCTAAAAGCAAGAAAAGGAACAAAGATAAAAAGTACAATCCAGAAAAGAAAAATAAGAATTTTGAACTTTTATGAACTAAAACATAGCTTTGAGGTATACAATATTAAGTAAAAACTGATAGAAATGCAAGAAGAAATCAACAAATCCACGATTAGAGTGGGAGATTCTGCAACCATCTCTCAGAAATCAGATGATCAAGTATATACACAAAGAGAGGATTTAAATTAACAAGCAAGCCTGATCTAAATAATACATATATACGCAACAAAGACAGAATACATTTATTGTCAAACAGCCTTGGAAAATTATCAAAATTTAGTCATGTATTAAATTACAAGGGAAATTTTTTAAAATACCAGAAAAACATAAATCTTACATGATGTGAATTTCTGAGCACAATTCAATAAAATTAGTGATTAGTAATTAATAGTTCAAGGATAACCCCCCCAAATCTCTCTACAAGGAAAAAAATTACACATCCTTAATGTTATTGTATCAAATTACAAACTATTTATAAATGGAAACCAACTAAAGCACAACATATCAAAATTTAGTAAATGTAAACAAAGTGATATTTGGTGGAAACTTTAGAGCATATAAGATTTTAGAAAGATTAAAAATGACTTAAGCATTTGACTAAGAGAACAGGAGAGAAAAAAAAAAAAAACTCCCAAAAGGAGGAATGAATTGATCAAGATGAAAATAGAAATTAATGGAAAAATAAAACTAGTAGAACCAATGAATAAAATCAAATATCAGGGTTTTTTTTAAAAGACCAATAAAATATGCAAAGCTCTTACAAATTTGACCCGAAACAAAGCACAAATAAATACATTTAAAGTTGTACCTACACACCAATAAATTTGGAAAACCAAATGAAATCGAAGGCCTTCTAGAGAAATATAATGAAATATAGTCTGTAAGATAAACAGTGTAATATATAAAAAATAATAAAGGAAATTTAAGAGTGGGAAGAAGTCTTCCTCTAAGAAGGCATCAAACCTAATATTATACAGAATAATTCTATAAAACCTTAAGGAGTAACTTTGTATTTTGATAAATAAAATGCTCTAACAAATAGAGAGTGAACTAAAGCTTTCTAAAGGCAGAAACCAAATCTAGATGGGCGTCTACACATAGATATGGACCAATATCATTTATGAGAGATTAAAAAATTTAATATATTCACAAATCAAATACATGATATATTAAAAGATAAATGCATTATGTCCAGCTAGGATATATATCAGAAATGCAAAGATGATTTAATATTCTATAAATTAATAAGGAGACAAAGATAACTTCAACAGATACACCTCTAAAGAAAAATTAATAAAACTAAGTACCTATTCCCCATTAAGTAAACAAAAAACCAGTTTTAGTAAATTAAGAGTAGAAGTGAATTTCCTTAACTTGATAAAGTTTATCAGAAATCTATAGCAAAGAGATAAGCATTTCCTCCAAAATCTTGAACAAGATA